TCCTCTTCAACCCTCTCAACGACATTCTGTGACCCATGCTCTGGTCATGAGTGCTGCGCAGCAGCTCTTCAACCTCCATCCACCATGTGAGTGCTGGGCTCTGTGTAAAAGTGCCTCATCATTTAGGTTGTATCCCTTTGTGCTGTTATACACACTGCTATAAAAAATAGTCGAGTCATTACGTTTTTGCTTAGCTCCAAAGTGACTTCATTGGTAGAAACTCTGTCGTATAGATTTTCTGGAAGAGCACTTGCATATTTTTTAATTGTCCGTATTCACTACCAGTTTGCCCTCCAGGAAAAGACACAAGCAGGGAAGCACAAAGACACCCTGCATGCACACCTTAGGATGCTTGTTGTTGGACCCTCGAAAATTTGATCATTGAAAAAGTTAGATATCGAAGGGTGTGTAAACATGCATTTCTTTAAATCCTAGTGAGGCAACGGTATGTGCTTATCGCCCATTGCTAATGAGTGTGTCTGTGTGTGTGTCTGCATGTGTCTGTGTGGGTATCTGTGTGTGCTTCTGTATCTGTTTATGTGTGTTTGTCAGAGAGAAGAGGCGGCCGGGAGGGGCACTGGTTCTTTAGTCGCCACCAGGGCCCCCCAGCTCCTCCACGTACCCAAGTTGACCACTGCACTCAAAAGACATTGCATAATCAAAGAGTAATGTCACAGTGTGGGGATAGCACCTGTATTGGGAGAAATAGAGGGATTGAATTGTGTAGAAACTTTTGGGAATGGCAGTAGAGCAAATGTCTGGGCAAGTACCACCACTCTTAAGATGCCTGAGTGAGTTAAATTGAGGCCTCCCAAAAGATATGCCCACCCGGGACTTCAGAGTGTGGCCTTATCTGGAATAAGGGTCTTTGCAGATGGAGTGGGTTGAAGATCTTGAGATGAGAAGACACTAGATTATGTGAGTCCTGAATCCAATGACAGGGGTCCTTATAGAGGAAGAAAGGGAAGCTTTGAGATACAAAGCTGTTAAAATATATCATTGGTGAGGATGTATTTCACTGGTTTCTCTTGAAAGCTCATGTATTTTACTTTTGTTCCCTGAATGCCAAAGAGATGGCAGTCCTGCATGCCATCACATGCTGGCCATCATCCCACACCTAGGTGGGACAGGCAAGTATCTGGGACTGAGGACTCAGACCAGGGAAGATCTTCCCAACTTGTGGGACCAGCTGACTCCAGAAGGGCTGGTCTTTGAGATGGTATGCTCCCTTCCCTGGGAGTGTTCCACCAAGACTTCTTGCTGACTTCTTCAGGAGGTCGGAGGTGTTCACGGTGTCTCCTTATGTCCCTGTGATTTTGTGTGTGTCAATCATTGTAGGCAAGATTTAGAATGAGGTAATGGCACTTGGCTCTCTTTTTTGTGGGAGCGAGGGGCTGATCACTGCTGAGAGGACCATTTCTGTACGTATGTAAAGAATGAGGGATGTGTCCCTTGTTGACTTCAGCCCCTGAATTTGTCCCCTGGCTGAGCTTTAGAAATGTATTAGTTAATAAAAGAAGACTATTATTTGATTTTTATAAATTAAAATATAATATTTAATGTGAACCCAAACTGACTTTTGTCATTTTTATTTCTTATTATCCATAATGTTACTCAGATCACATTTTTGTTTTTGTAACTCTGGGTACAAATTGTGAATGCAAGCGCAAAGAACATGCTGTAGTGCCCTTTTCCTCCAGAGAGGGCGCCAACTCTAAAGGGTGGCATTCGACTTGAAAATCGGACCTTGTGTTTGTGGTTTTCATTTCTGTCCGATAGCTCCTTATAGTATTAGGTGAGTATACGTAGTGTTTCGTATATTTTCCTGATTACGCTGGCGCTTGCAGTGAGACATGGTTTCGAATGCAGATATCTTTGCGGAGGGGAGCGTCCTGAACAAACTACAGTAGGTACTGCACGATGGCCACTTTGGGGAGATAACTTAAGCGCCACCCAACCTTGGCCTGGGTCGGGATTCCGTGAGCCCCGGGAAGCGCGCCGAGCGCAGAGCAGCCTTGGTCGTGGAGGCGGTGAGCACGCTCTGCCCCAGTGTGCCCGCTCTCCGTGCTCATAGCGTCCCCCCAGAAAATTCCTTCTCAGGGCCAGCTCGGTCGCACTCCAAGGAGCATTACGCTTCTAGGGGAGAAGTCGAGCCTCGCCCTGAAGATCTCTGGTTGTGGTTTTCGGTTAGGCTTTAGGGATTTATGCACGTTTTGTAACTTGTAATTTGAGGACCTATTCATTCTCTTTAGGCAGGGGTCCTGGCCCAAGTTCACAACACTAGCTCCACTTGACCTAGTCTGGGGTACCTTGTACCCCTATGTTGTAAGCTAATGGAGTGGCCTTCATCTGGTGTTTTACGTAAGGACCACAGCATCCCCTGCAGCCAGAGCGGGGCCTAGGAGGGGATGTCTGCCCTTGCGAGTTGGTAGGCAGGACGGGGTCGGTTGGATCAACCATGAATATGAGATTTGAAATAGTACTTTCTACAAAGGGTAAAAGCAGCCTTTCCATATGTGGACTCCGAAGCAAGTGTATCAGAAGGGAATGCAGCTTGGCCACCCACAATGACAGCTCACACCTTAGAGCTGCCCCAGGACAGGAAGCACCACCTCCATCCAGAGTGAAGCCCATGAAAACCAAAATCAGAGTGAAGAGCAAAAGCCAAACCCAAGGACTTTAATTAGCACTGTCTTCACATTTAAAATTAGGAATTTTGCACCTAAAAAAGTCGCTTAGAATATATTTAAATATGATGGGAATTTTTTTAAAAGGTAGCATTGAAATCCAGCCACCTGGAAGGCAGTAAGTAAGGAATTTGTCACGGTGTAAACAAATCTAGTGTTTACATTATGGTGCAAGACTCCAGTGTAGTCTGCATATGGTTTGACAAGCTCACAGCAACTATTTTCTGTAAGAGAAAAGAAATAAAAGCCAATTCATTGGCTTTCCAGTATCAACACCATGACTTGTTTTTAATTCTAATAACCTGGTATCTTCGTTCTAATCAGGGAAATCAGGTCATTCAGGCTGGAGAATCATTAGTGAAGAAAAGTCACAACTACTCAGATCTTCTTGCAGATCTTGGGACAGTTGTCTCCCAGACACAGTCCTGAAAATTCCAGACGTGTTATGAGAGATGGCACCCTAGGCTATACTTGACTCCATTCGAAACCAGCATCTTTCTCTAGGTCAGATGTGTAGGTTCTGCAAATAGGAATAGGTGAAACTCAGTAGCCCAGCCATGAGATTTGGACCACCAAGCAAAGGGTATGGATTCTCCTCCAGCTGCCAACAAGTATCCAACCTTCGCCAAGCCTGAGAGAGAGGAGGGAGTTTTGGTGACTTTTACCCTGCCGAGATACCTATGCCATCTCTCTGACCTGAGAACCTGACCATCCTGGGGATGCTGGGAGAGCAGCTCCCCAAGGTCAAAGTGTGGTGGTGGGGATTAGCTGTGCATATGAAGCTTTCCAAACATGCTTGAAGACACTGCCAGGCTCCAGATAAGAAACCAGGAAGAAATAGGAACATAGGGAAAACAATAGCAAGGCATAGTCTCTACACACAGCAAGTGAGTTGTGCAGACATTTGTCAGCCACCAAGAATCAGGGTGATCGGAAAGTTTGTGTCACTAGGGAGAACTTCACAAGTGAATTAGAGCTTTCCTGGGGCTTGAATGGATTGATTCTATGTATGAAGCAAACACTCAGAAATGTGCCTGTGCTGTTCTTTATTCTTGGAACGTGCCTCCCTTTATCAACCCACAGTTCTTTTTATTCAGAACTGAAATCTTTCCTGGTGGTCATTGACTTGAGCTAGCTGCTGTTTTCTGACTCTGGAAGTCCCACACTCCACTGGGGACCGCACAGTGGAGGATTCATTGCTCTTCAATTCTGCTATTGCTGAGTGACTGTTCATGCTCCCACTTACCTGAGATTATCATGATGCAGATTACGACTGACGCACTGTTTCTGACCTGCTATGCTGAGCACCCTGATAAGCACAAAGTACAAACCCCCACTCAGCAGGTGGGCAGGGATGGCCAGCGAGCACTTAGACCCTTCCTGGCCCCATGTCACTCCAGGTCCTGTGCAGGAATCCAACAATGGCCAAGGGTCATGTCAGCAGTTATCTGCTTTTAAAGACTAAAAGGTCAGTTCCCTGAGCGATGCCGGGTTTGCTTGGCCCTTTAGTTCATGGTAGTACTGATTCACGTGATTATTCCATCCTCCGGGCAGCAAATCGAAACCTGCTTCCTGTTTTCCAGCTATTTAGAACAGACCCCTGCAACAAATACCTGATATTTTATTGTTTCTAGCTTCCCACCATTTCCTGCTCTCAAACACATAGTAAAATATGTACCAATTTTTCTGCTTTATTGTTTTGATCATTGGCATAATCATAGTGCATATTGTATACACACGAGACGAGAGTTGTACTGTTAACTTCATATTTTCTGTGATTATGTGGGCACTGCTAATTTGCTACTGTTAAAAACAAAATTTCATAGACAAATCAATCTTTGTGTATGGAAAAAAGATTGTTGTGTTAGCAAAGCAACCAGAAAGGTTAAATGGGTGTGCCAGTGCAGAGAGGGCATAGAATAGACAGGAGATAGAGTTAAGAAACAGAATGCTTACAATAGCTGCCAACTGAAAAAATAGGAAGTACCAAATCAGATCAGAATGGCAGTTTTGTTGTGTGGGCGATAAAAAAAAAAAAGCTTATTCTAATCAGTTATCAGGAGCTAGCCTGGAGCAAGGTATTTTAAGAAGCCGCAAGTGTTGGCTCGTCACCAAGAAAATAATTACATGCAAAAATATAAATTGAAATGTGTGTACGTGTTGCCTCTAAGGCCATCAACTGGTCCTCAGCTGCTTTTCAGCCCAGCAAGCCTGGGAGAACACTGCTGTCCTCGAGCAGGGTGGCTGAGCATGCAGGAAAAGCCACTGAGTCTTATCAAGCTTAGAAACAAGTTACAAAAGACAGTTTGCCCATTTCGTAGTTTGGGAACAATTTTATTTTCCTTAGCACTAAGGATTATCCATGAAACTTGCTGACAAGGCACCAGAAAGTTAGCTCATCTATGAAAGTTAGCTCATCTAGGTGTGAATCTAATATATTCGAGAACACTGCCTTTTTGTCCTTAGTGAGAAAGCAAACCAATTTCATGGTTCTCCCTTGCAGTACTTTAGCCTGTAGCTCCATCTCCAGTCCCTCCCATGAAAGTAAGATGCTGGAAATCTCACCTCTAGTGTTTCAGCCCTTGGGTGTTTAATTCCCCGGGTCTAAAGCCACATCCTGCAACATCATACTCTGGTCATTCCAAAGGCAGCTTCACACACACCAACCCAGTAAAGTTTTTAACACTGTTCCCACTTTCACCAAGACCTAGGAGTTCGATGGAGAGGGTGATGGGTCTGGGCCCTGGGCATGGCCAAAGACGTGCAGGCGTTATGTTCCCACAGAGGCTGGCTCTCCTGCTCATGCGAAGTAGCTCCTAGCTCAACAAGGCCACCAGGGTCAATAAACATGAGTCCTGAGCTGACCTGGAGTTTGTGACTTCAAGAAAGTCCCTCCATCTTTCTGGACCTTCACTTCCTCATCTATAAACTAAGTGGGTTTTCTCAATATTGCCTTAAGGCTGTGACATTTCCTTTTTTTTATGAATTAAGCATCTTTGATGTGGTAGGCACCAGGGGCACAGCAGCAAACAAAACACACCAAAAAAATTTGTTTTTCATTTTTAAAGCCCTGACCTTATTCTATAGGTGGGAATTTCAGTAATGGAATTAAATTTGTCCATAAGTAAAGCAGTAGGTGGTGGTAAGTGCCATAAAAATGCACAGAGTGGAAGGGAAAGGAGCACAGGAAGGTGGGGTTTTCAGTGGGGAGGCCAGGGAAGGCCTTGCTAATGGCACCTGGGCACAGACATACCTTAAGGAGGTAACCCCAAAGTCAGCCAGAAGGAGTAGAGCAGAGAGGAAGTGACTCAGGAGGGCTTGGGCTTCCATCAGATCTCAGCTAGGCCAACAGGAGTTGTTCCCGGTGCCTGAACCTATGACAAAATCTGCTTGTCCCCACTGCCTTGGCTGCTAATCAAACTTAACTGTTTAAAAATCTTGGAGCCTCTCCTGACGTTATTGCTGCTTCTGGTAACTCTGGCAGGCTCCGAGGATAAAGAAACCAAATGCCCCTCTGTAAACTTAAGCTGGGACCAGAAGGTCTCCTTGGTAGGGTTGTCCCCTCTAACCGGAAAAGCGTCTGAGAAGGCTGCACACCTGCCTCTGCCACGTCTTCTCTGTGCCTCTTTGTAGGTGCACAGCACCCACCGCCCCCTCTCGGACCTCTCCGGCCTTCCCAGCTAGACAGATGGGAGGTCCAAAGGTGAAAAGGGCGGCCACGGTAGGACAAGAGTAAGCCACGGGCAGTCGATGGCAAGGTGAGCAATGTGGTTGGTGTGCGCTGGGACTCAGTGAGGGGAGGTTATGGGGTAGCCTGGGCCAGGGCTGGGGCTCCGGCCACTCCTTGGAGGTCAGGTAGGCAGTAGTCGGTGGACATGGGGGGGTTGGGCGGTGTCCTGGGTGGCAGGAGTCTGGGCATAGATGGGTGTCTATGGAAACTGCAGGAGCAGCTCAGGTGAGGCTAAGTATGAAAGGATAGGGGTTGGAGGCTGGGATGAAGGGAGTCTGGGGTGGGGTGGGGTGGGGACTGGGCAGATTTTGCATCTCTCCATGCATGTCCCCACATATCCATCAATGAAGGTGTTCCTACAGGGCCCTGTAGAGAAGGGAAGTGGAGAGCCAGCCCCAGGATAAAGCTACTCCAGACTTACTGCAGCCCTGTGGCTCCCCATGGAAGCCTGGCCCACTGTCACTGCGATTCCACACCAAGGTCTCACCCTCCCTGCCTGGCCTACAGGGCAGGGTCTGGTAGACAGGCACATGGGACAGGCACCTGGAAGAGGCTCTGGCACCACTCTGTTTGGACCAACCTCATCCAGGAATGCGCCAGGGCTGGGCACCCCGTGGAAGACCAGCATCCAGCCCGGCTCTGGGCTCCTGGTCTAGGGTGATGTCTGTCATGCCACATCTCTCAGATTCTAAATCTTGCTATTTCCTTTTTTTAATTTTTTATTTACTTTTTAATATTCGTTTTAATGGGAAAACAATAGACCCTGTTGACCATGAAGCCTTGGCAAAGAGACCCTGGAGCCCCCTTGTCTCCTCTCCTTTCCCAGCTTTCTGGATACTGAGACTTTTCAACCTGTTAAGTTTTCAGTCCTTGTGACAGTTAATTTTACGTGTCAGCTGAGCCAGGCCACAGTGCCTAGCTATTTGGTCAAATATCAGTCCAGTAGTTGCTGGGAAGGTTTATTTTTTTAGGCAAGATTAACAGTTAACTCAGTAGACTTTGAATAAAGCAGATTACTCTCCACAGTGTGTGTTGGCCTCACCCAATCAGCTGAAGGCCTTAGGAGTGAAGACTGAAGTCACCCAGGAAGAAGGCCTCCGCCTCCAGCAGCCTTGGTGTGTATATGCATCCCTTCTGTTTCTGTTTCTCAGCAGAGCCTTGACTAACACACTCTTGAGTTGCTTTTCTAGTCAGGTACATGTCATTCAGCCATCAGAGCAGCGACTTAAGTCCATCTAGGTTTGGAAATTAGAAGTCAGTTTATAGCCAACATGTACATTCAAATGCTTGATTGAGAAACATATACTCAAAGTCTTGGTGCTGAGGCCTCTGGGGGGGCCCTGGGTAACATCCCCCTCTACCCACATGGTCTCACGTTACCTGCACAGACCGGCCTGGGTAAGGACAGTCCCTGGGGCACTTGTCTTTGTTGCTCTGATTTTAAACTCCATGGGGCTTAGGGAACCCTTGGCACAGGGACCAGCATGTAATAGTCACGCAAACAGAATTAAAAGATGCCATCTCTGTAGCACAAGGCCAGCCTGTGTCTCTTTCTTCACAGCCACTGAATTTCTGCCTGGTACAGTATCTGGGATTTTTGTGCCTAGATGAACCTCAATTTCAGGGACTTGTTCTAGAGATCCAAGAGCACACAAGGTTTTCCTGCAATAGCATTCCTTCTGGGACCTTCCCTTTTCCTTTCTTCTTTGTTGGGAATTAATGAGAAATATATATATTGGTCTCAGCCCTCCCATTCCTGGCACAGGGCTCCTAAGTCCCTTGCAATATCCTGGGTTTTTGGAGCTTCTGACACTGAGCTCCTAGATTGCTTGAAATATCCCAAGTGATAGGAACATCTTTTATTCCAATGAAGGACCCTGGTGGGCTCCTGGATGAGGGCTGGTCACCAGAAAGACCAGCCATAAGTAGAAGCCTGGAACTTTTGGCCCCACTCCCAGCCTCCTGAGAGGGGAGGGGGCCAGAAATGGAGTTAGTGACTGATCACACACACGTGAGGAAGCCTCCATAAATCCCAGCAGTAAAGTGTCCAGAGGCTTCTGGGCTTGTGAACACACCTACATGTCAGGAGGGTGACACACCCCAACCCCATGAGGACAGAAGGTTTGGCTCTGGGAACCCTGAGACTCACCTTCATCTAGCTGTTCACCTGCATCCTGTATCACGTCCTTCATTACATGATAACCCAGTAAATGTGTTTCCCTGAGCTGCATGCGCTGTTCTAGCAAAAGATGGAAGCTAAAGAAGGGGTCATGGGACTCTGACTTGCAGCTAGTCAGAAGCTGAGCCCTGCTCCTTGCAATTGGCCTCTGAAGTAGGGGTGTTCACGTGAGACTGAGATCTGTGCCAACTCTGGTTCGTGTCAGAATGAACTGAACTGTAGGACACCCTGTTGGTGGCACAGGGAATCACTTGGTGACATCTGGTGTCAGCAGTGCTCAGTGTGGCAGTTGTGAGAGTGAAGGAGGCTCCCCTGCCATTCATTGCGCTCACTTACTGCAGCTCTGGTTCATCCTGCAGATCCAGGTGCTCAGGGAATGCTCGCCATTTCCTTAGTGCTAGCTCTGTTCCAGTAATTTGCGGTCACTTTTCCTGTTTTCACTCTCACACCTGCTGGTGGTGGTGAGTAGCAACAGTGAAACCCCCTCTGAGTAATGGATCTTTCAAGACATATATATAAATAAAAGACAATGTTGGTGTCCTCCCAAAATGTTAGTCTGTTAAAAACTACCATCACCCTGAGGTTAGTCTGTTAAAAACTAACCTCAGGGTGATGGTAGAGGGGGCCTTGGTAGGAGATTAGATCATGAAGTCAGGACCTCAGGAATGGAGTTCGTGCCTTACAAAAAAGACTTCACAGAGAGTCCTCACCTCTTGCCCTACATGAAGACACAGCGAGAATGTCCTAAAAAATAGCTCTCATCAGAACCCGACCATGCCTGATCTTGGGCTTCCTGCCTCCAAAACTATGAAAAATAAATGTTTACAAGCCTCCCAATCTGTGGTGCTCTTTTCGCAGCCCAAATGGACCAAGACAATATTTCTCAACTGGTATATATATCTTAATGTATATATTTTTATATATTCACAAGATATATTTTATATATAAACTATATATGTAAATTCTCTGTATAAATTCTCTATGTAAAAATTCTCTTCATATATGTGTAAATTCTAATTCTCTAATTTATCTGCACATAAATTCTCTCTATATAAATTTTCCATATATACAAAAACTCTCCCCATGTAATATATATGTATGCATATATAAATCTCTCCATATATATAATATATATAAAATCTAATTCTATATACAAAAATTCTCTACAATAAATTCTATATGTATTCTCTTTATACATAAATTACATACAGAAAGATTTTCTCCATATAGGATTAGATATAGATATAGATTCCATATCTCGGGTGGGAATGGAGATACCTGCTCTGTTTATGGTTAAGTTGAGCAGGCGATGGACTCACACCCAAACACACAGGGCTTCCTGCTGTTGCAGGGAAGAGCAGATGGCTCGCTCTACAGAAGGCAGGTCACCTGAACACGTGAGCCTGCCTCAGGCAGGTCCTTAAAGAGCCTGGAGTGAGGGCCTTGAGTGAGCAGCAGCCTGAGGACACCTGTCCCTGTGGATGTGGGATGTGAGGGGCCATTTCCCAAGCAGACGCTAATCTGTCTCCAGGAACCAGAGGGCAGCAGACTGCCCTTTGCACAACCCAAACCGGATCCCATTACCCTATGGGCCAGGGGGTAATCTATGACCCCAAAATGAGCCAGCAAGTAGGTTTAAGGGCTCTACCTCAGTCTAATGAAAACATTAGCACAGGATACTCAGCACACGGCCCAAGACAAACCTGGATCTGGCCTGGTCAGGATGAAACCAGAACGGTGGCAATACTGCCACATGGAGAAAGCATGCAGACAGAGACGTTCTCTCCACAAGGTTCTCTCTAACCTCAGGACAACCTCCCAAGTGGTACCAGGATGAACAGTGCTTGGGAAGGGTGTCAGTCATTCACTGATCAGTGTTTATGTCACACCCCCATGTGGAATACAGAGGAATGAATGAATTGCAGAAATGAAACCAGGACTAGGAACACTCTCAGTGAGCTTATGGCATCAGAGAGTGAGGGCAGCCCCAGCAACGTGAGCCACCTCCTGGGGCCAGGCTGGAGGCCCCTTGGTTCCCAAAGCTCCCTCTGAGAGCTCTGCTTGGCTGCACTGTTTATGAGGGGACTGCTGCTTGAGGATAATCAGCTTTATGAGTGTCAGAGCCCTGAAGAGACAAAAGACTACTTCCATCTGTGAGGTTAAGCACTATCACAAACATTCTCATCTCATATCAGTTCTCCTATAAACTCACATCTGACCTAAAGAAACGTTTTGTTCATCCCATAAAAGCCTTTTCTTCTCTCTTCCTTTCCCCCACTAAGTTAGGTACTTAAACCCCAAATTCTAACCACCCCTCTGAGCTACTCACGCCCTCCTGCGTGTATGTGTGTTGCACATGACATAAACTCTACCTTTTATCTTGCTAAAATGTCTTTTGTTGGTTTAGTTCACACACCACCAGTCACTGAACATAACAGGATCAAAGAAACTTTTTCTTTCCCAACAGAGACAAAGGAAATAATAATGTAAGGCTGAGAAGTCCCAAGATCTATCATCAGTGAGCTGAAGACCTAGGAGAGCTGGTAGTGAAAGTTCCAGTCTGAGTCATAGTGCAAGAGAAGCCCAGTGTTTCAGTTCAGAGCAAGTAACACAGAGAGAGTTCTCCCTTCCACTACTTTTTTGTTCCAGGCAGGCCTTCAACAAATTGGATGAGGCCCACCCAATCTGCTGTACTTGGACCAGGCTGGAGGCCCCTTGGTTCCCAAAGCTCCCTCTGAGAGCTCTGCTTGGCTGCAGTGTTTATGAGTTAAATCTTCATATGTAAAAATTCTCTTCATATATGTGTAAATTCTAATTCTCTAATTTATCTGCACATAAATTCTCTCTATATAAATTTTCCATATATACAAAAACTCTCCCCATGTAATATATATGTATGCATATATAAATCTCTCCATATATATAATATATATAAAATCTAATTCTATATACAAAAATTCTCTACAATAAATTCTATATGTATTCTCTTTATACATAAATTACATACAGAAAGATTTTCTCCATATAGGATTAGATATAGATATAGATTCCATATCTCGGGTGGGAATGGAGATACCTGCTCTGTTTATGGTTAAGTTGAGCAGGCGATGGACTCACACCCAAACACACAGGGCTTCCTGCTGTTGCAGGGAAGAGCAGATGGCTCGCTCTACAGAAGGCAGGTCACCTGAACACGTGAGCCTGCCTCAGGCAGGTCCTTAAAGAGCCTGGAGTGAGGGCCTTGAGTGAGCAGCAGCCTGAGGACACCTGTCCCTGTGGATGTGGGATGTGAGGGGCCATTTCCCAAGCAGACGCTAATCTGTCTCCAGGAACCAGAGGGCAGCAGACTGCCCTTTGCACAACCCAAACCGGATCCCATTACCCTATGGGCCAGGGGGTAATCTATGACCCCAAAATGAGCCAGCAAGTAGGTTTAAGGGCTCTACCTCAGTCTAATGAAAACATTAGCACAGGATACTCAGCACACGGCCCAAGACAAACCTGGATCTGGCCTGGTCAGGATGAAACCAGAACGGTGGCAATACTGCCACATGGAGAAAGCATGCAGACAGAGACGTTCTCTCCACAAGGTTCTCTCTAACCTCAGGACAACCTCCCAAGTGGTACCAGGATGAACAGTGCTTGGGAAGGGTGTCAGTCATTCACTGATCAGTGTTTATGTCACACCCCCATGTGGAATACAGAGGAATGAATGAATTGCAGAAATGAAACCAGGACTAGGAACACTCTCAGTGAGCTTATGGCATCAGAGAGTGAGGGCAGCCCCAGCAACGTGAGCCACCTCCTGGGGCCAGGCTGGAGGCCCCTTGGTTCCCAAAGCTCCCTCTGAGAGCTCTGCTTGGCTGCACTGTTTATGAGGGGACTGCTGCTTGAGGATAATCAGCTTTATGAGTGTCAGAGCCCTGAAGAGACAAAAAGACTACTCCATCTGTGAGGTTAAGCACTATCACAAACATTCTCATCTCATATCAGTTCTCCTATAAACTCACATCTGACCTAAAGAAACGTTTTGTTCATCCCATAAAAGCCTTTTCTTCTCTCTTCCTTTCCCCCACTAAGTTAGGTACTTAAACCCCAAATTCTAACCACCCCTCTGAGCTACTCACGCCCTCCTGCGTGTATGTGTGTTGCACATGACATAAACTCTACCTTTTATCTTGCTAAAATGTCTTTTGTTGGTTTAGTTCACACACCACCAGTCACTGAACATAACAGGATCAAAGAAACTTTTTCTTTCCCAACAGAGACAAAGGAAATAATAATGTAAGGCTGAGAAGTCCCAAGATCTATCATCAGTGAGCTGAAGACCTAGGAGAGCTGGTAGTGAAAGTTCCAGTCTGAGTCATAGTGCAAGAGAAGCCCAGTGTTTCAGTTCAGAGCAAGTAACACAGAGAGAGTTCTCCCTTCCACTACTTTTTTGTTCCAGGCAGGCCTTCAACAAATTGGATGAGGCCCACCCAATCTGCTGTACTTGGACCAGGCTGGAGGCCCCTTGGTTCCCAAAGCTCCCTCTGAGAGCTCTGCTTGGCTGCAGTGTTTATGAGTTAAATCTTCATCTCATCCAGAAGCACTCTCACAAACACACCCAGAATAGTGTTTGACTATATGTGGGCTCCCCATGGCCCAGTCAAATGGACATACAACATTAACCCTCAGAGAAGGTCAGGTGCTCAGCTCCTGGGACACAGCACATTTCTTACCCAGTCTCAACACCACTCAATTCTATTTCCATGTTGCCTCTGGGATGCTCCACATGCCCAATGCAAATTTAACCATCCCTCCCTTTGTTCTTTTGTTCCTCCATCACTTCCAGAAAATGTACTCATGTATTCAATAAAGGTTTGTTCATCACTGTGTGTCTTACTCCGTTAGGGCACAATAACAAAAGTACCATGGATGGGAGGCTTATAAACAACAGACAAGTATTTCTCACAGTTCTGGAGGCTGGAAGTCCAAAGTCAAGGTGCCAGCAGCTTCAGTGTCTAGTGAGAAACCGCTTCTTGGTTCATGAATGACATCTTCTGTCAGTGCCCTCACATGACAGAAAGGACAAGGGTGCTTTCTGGGGTCTCATTTATAAAGGCACTAATCCCATTCCTGGGGCTCCACCCTCAAGGCCTAATCACCTCTCGAAAACTCCCTCATAATCATAGTGAGGATTAGGATTCAGCATATGAATTTTGGTGACACAAATATTCAGACCACAGCACCAGGTTAGGCACCAGGGATAAAGGAGTGAATAATAAAGACAGAGCTCCTGCCTTCAATGAGCTCACAGTGGTGATGAAATGCAGCTCTCCCTCCCACAAGTATTTATCGGCCCCAATGGCACACCAAGCTCTGTCCTAGGAGGGACTCCAGGGGAGACACAGTGTCCCTGCTCTCATAGGTCTCACTTTCCAGCAGGAGTCAAGCAAAAGACACGGAAATAATGAGCAAGACAACAAAGGCACAAGTAACTGCTGTGTGGAGAACTGGTCTAACGGGAGTCATAAAGGGGCCTTGGATGCTCAGAAACACAAGCAAAGCTCTACAGTCAGGAGCAGGCAGCAACCCACAATATGACAACTGCACAAAGATGATTTTGAGCTGAAGACATTGAAAAAGCTGCAAATGCAACACATCCTGATAGCTCCTTTTCTTCCTGAAAACAGGAGGTGAAACTCCCGTGTAAGAGATAACTGCTCTGCACCCACAGAAAAGAAATGTTCTTTTCATCAAGTATGGGAGATAAAGATAGAAGAGGATTAAGTCCAGACACACCTTGGTAACATAATTCTTATCTTCCTTTAGCCTCCACATGTGTTTTAGTTACTTTTCAACAACGGCCTCTCTTTATTCAAACTTCTATAAAAGCATTTTGGTTTCGACAGTTCTGTGGGTCTTCATTTCCTTATGAGGGCCCCATGTTTGTGTAAAAATCTATGTGCTTTCCTCTTGTTAATCTGTCTTCTGCTGATTTAACTCTCAGGCTCAGCCAGAAACCCTAAGAGGACAGAGTTAAGAATCTGTCCCTCTCTACACATTCAAAAACATTGTAATAAGTACAAGAAGCCAGAAACAAAAGGCCACACTGTGTATGAATCCCATTTATACAAATGTCCACAACAAACAAATCCATAGAGACAGAAAGCAGATTATTGGCTGCCTGGAGCTTGGGGAGGAGCAATGGGGTGTGACTATTAATGGGTTCAGGGTCATCTTTTGGGGTGATGAAAATGTTTTGGAATGAGATAGAAGTGGTATTGTACAACATTACAAGTGTGCTAAATACCACTGATATGTTCAATTTTTAAATGGTTAACTTTATGTTACATGAATTACAGCTCAATTAAAAGACACACACACACACACACACACACACACACACACACATACACACACGTGCGCACACACTATGGCAATCCCATACTCCAGAGACTAGCTTGGGGACATTTACAAAGGTGTCACTTCATAGTGCTCTTGGAAAGTGTAAATATTTACAAAAGCATTCTAGAAGCAGAGACCTACAAATTACATGGAAGGCGGTGTTAGTTATTCTAGGATGAAGACAAATGCAGAATACAAAACCAGGAACAGTGGCAGTTAGGTTAAAAAAAAAAAAAACCATGCAGAAAAAATATTGAGCAACTATTAAAAGGAAGGGGGAAAAAAAAAAAAGATTAGCCAAAACCTACCCGCACAGGACAGTCTGACTGCCTACAATTGAGACATAGCCAGGTCAACATAAACCTCTCAGAAAGTTCTGGGTCCAGGTACTACCCACCGGGTGCGGAAGGGGCATCTGGCCAGAGAGCAGGAGCAGCTGAAGCATTAGGGGCCCAGGAAATCTGTAGGAAGCAGGAGGAACGAGGCCTAGAACTCTTCGTTCTTTTTAAAGTCAGCTTTTTAACAGGCTTGAGAGCTGCCCCAACGCCCCCGCCCTGAGCGAACTCCCAGCACCAGCTAACAGGCTCCTACAGACTCTCAGCCTCTGTCCAAATTCAGGACCTCCCAACACAGGTCACAAGTCAGGGGGAAATCCCAGAAGAGCTTGGACCTTACGTGACAGGGAATCTAGTTCAGCAGTACAAAGGGTCACCTGGACAGCAGTTTCTGTGCCCTGCCAAAAGTAGTTGTGTCCCTTCTGCACAAAAAATGATCCCAGAAGCTCATGCATTTTCTGTCCTGACCTTTGTCTGTCCTTGCTTTGCCTACCTCCCCCCAATGGGGCCCACTGACTCTGTGGGATCTTACCTCTGGGGTCACTGGTGTCAGACTTCCTTCAGACCACAGTCAGGTCTGCCTCTTTAGGGTTCTCCACTATGTGGTTTACAACACGATGTGGGGATAAAAGGCCTAAGGGAAGAAATGGTTTTCCTCAACTCTCCTGGGGTCTGGGTCTGAAAATTAAACTGTCAGATTAACAAGAAAAAGCCTGCAAAGTTACTTAAGGTTTACGGGACTCATGAGGAGATGCAGACCCAGAGTCAGGCCTGAGTATTTGCAGAGTGGGCAGTCATGGAGGGCTGTGACAGGTCAAGTGTGAGATAGAATGGTGAACGGGGAACTTAGTGAGGCCTGGTAGGACTCTCCTTGGCGTCCTTTTTGCGTTCACACCTAACGGTGCTCCTTTCTCTGGGTGTAGGATCGGCACCTCTCACTTAACGGTTCAGACCCTGTTTCAGGGGAGGCCAGGTAGGGGGAGGTCAGTGACCTTCCTGCTTCTGGCGTTTCCTCAAACTCCTTCGGCTTAAGGTATTCAATATACCAACGTGCTATTTGGGGGTAGTGTGTGCTGAACCCCACCAGGAGCTAATAGAATTTATATTCTAGATGGGGGCATTACAAGCATCGACAGGAAAAGCCTATGTGAACCAGTAGGAAGGGGAAGCCTGGCAAAATCAGGAACTGCCCGAAGTTGACAGACGGACCCAGGTCACCAAAGGCATCCTGTGGGCAGGAGCCGAAGCACCTCTCAGCAGTCCATTCTTACCGCTGATACCATATGCCCATCCGTGTCCACGACCTCCCACTGAAATATTGCATAGGACAACTTTCCGCCCTGGCCCGGGGCCAGAGTGTCTGCTGTGCGCCAACAGTGATGCGTATATTGTTCCTAATTAAGAACCAATGCCATTGCCACCTCATGTGCCAACTGTATCTCACTACCTGGCCTCAGTTGCACAGAGACAAGTAGGAGAGAAAGAGGGAGGGAGAGAGGAGAGACATATCAGCAGTTCTCCTGGTCGTGTTTGTAGCCCTGAATCTTTGGTGTTGCAGCAGCATGGCTTGGGTATTAGGAAGGACTCCGCCATGTGCGATGCTCACCCAGCCCAGAGCTTGTCGAGCTCCTCGTACTTGCAGATGGCCAGCTGTAGGTGGCGCAGGATGATAGCATTTTCTGGTGGACGCTCACTCAGCGGGGATGCTTACAATAGCCAAACTCCCGAGCCCAGGACCAGCAGGAAAAAAAGCCGGCCTTTATAGTCCGGGAGGGCACTGCTGCGTGCTGCGTCCACCAATAGGATAAAGGCGCTGTGCAGCCAGGAGCCCTATTGGTTGCTCCAAGGCGATGAGCCTTGCCGCTTCTCCAATCAGACAAGACTTGTTAAGTCACCTCATTTGCATAGGGCCAAGGTGTCCCAGCGCTGAGTGCTGTCATCAAGCGTGTTCAAACGCAGGTCTTTAGAAATGACTGTCCCTGAGGACGGAAAGCTGCACGAGTGGCTCTGTTGGGCCACACTACTCAGGTCCCCATTCATGCTTGGTTTCCTGCGATACTGGTGGCCCACTCGGTGCTCTCTTGGGACTGCAACCAGGGAGGAGCCTCCAGGGTCTTCATCAAGTAAACATTAAGCCCAAGACAGCTGGACTCGCCCACGAGTGTCACCTTACTATCAGGCACCTGCCAGGCGCTGCCTCGGGCTCTCTGCAGAGGCACGGTCAGCCTTGTGCTCTGCCAAGCAGCGGGCAAAGAGCTAAGGAATAGCCCGCAGCCCTCTGGGTCTCAGGAGGTGTAGTGGAGTTTGGATCCTGGCCATGAGACTAGGCTTTAAAAGGAATTAAGTCTGCGGGCGAAGGCAACGAGGGGGGTGGCCTGTGCACAGGGAGACACACCATTTTTTGGTCACAGAACGAATTTGGTGGCTGAACCAAGGTGTGGGGGGACTGAGAACTTTTACAAGAGAACAATCTTGTCTCTTGACAAACAGGAAACGTGAAATCTTGATTATCTATGACCAACGTGTACCATTTCCCGGTTTTTCTTTAAATCTGCCCACTCTAATTTATGCAAAACGGAAGTAGAGATTGATACTGTCCTGTGACAGTTTAATTCTGACCGGTTGAGTTACTACTCAATCGGGTTGTATTGATGGCAACGTTTTAACTGATGCATCTTCATTGCTAAGTGGCTTTATAAATACTTGTAGAAGTTGCTCACTACCACATTCGTCTTCAGAAACGGAGTTTTAATAAACCCAAGAAGCCCAAAACATTATGAAGAAAAAAGGAACTCAGGGTCTTTGTGTCATTTAAATCACCAGTCTCTACACTGAGTAGGTATCCCGCTAGGAAATGAGGCAGTCTGGTCGAGAACTCGATCTGATGGTGGGGCTGGTGGAGCTCCCGCCCTGTGGGGTTTTCTCAGTGCAACCCTCCTCCCCTCTGCCCCGGTGACCCTGTGGAACCTCCCTGCCCCAGTCTTCCCAGCTGCCTCATCAATCAAAGGCCCCTGCCCCCTCCCTGGGCCCAGCCATCCCCTAGGAAACACTGGTGGCACAGAGGCCCGTCTTCAAACTACCAGACAAAGCAGAGGCTTCCACCCCCTGCACACCTGCGTGCGCAGGGGAAGCCCAGGGCAGAGGCCTCCAGGCAACTGCTGCTGATGCTCCTGCACCGGAGGAAGGAAAAGATCGGGTGGGAGGGAGAAGGGTCCTGAGAAGAAGAAAGCGCACCTGCAATCCGAATGAGGTCACGAGGCCAGGGAGACCCGCTGAGATCCAATAAGGGTGCTTGCGCCTTAGAGGGAGGCCAGCCTTCTTGGTCAATTGTAGCATCCCAACTGTTTCCAGGACGCTCACTGCCTTAACGTTCCAAACCTAAGGCCCTTCTCACACTCCACACACAGCTTATTCAATAGGGAGGTAGTTACAGGACTAGTTAACCACTAATTACATAAAATCCAAAGTGATTTAAGCACCCTGGAGCCCAAATTCCTTCCCTAAGGCAAGTCCCAATTGAAGACAGCCCCAGGACGATCCAGTCATCTCCCTTCCCCTTCCACATCGTCTTTCCTGTGTCTCCTTGGTTCTCTCCGTTTTGTTATCCCATTCAAAACTCCGCTACCCACACACACTCTAGGCAACAAACAGGCTCCATTTGTCAGTTTGAAGTATTCTTGCAACTGTGAATTGCTACATATGCATGCATTTTAATTTTAGGTAAATGGTGCCGTTTCATGCTTTCTTGCTTTCATGTCTCAGCAGTGCCCTCAGCACCAAGCCCCACCCCCGGCTCCATGTTGCCCTAAGTCCAGCTCCTGTGCCCCAACACTGGGCATTCTCCAAGACCTCTAACCCCCACTTGACCTCCTACTTTCCCCACTGAGGGGCACCAGCACTCCCAGCCCCACACTCACGCTTCAACAATGGCATACACCCACATGCGTCCCTGGGAATGCCCAGGAGTGGGCTCCTCTGGTACCTGGTCATTATGCCCCACGATGGATGACATCTGGCAGTCAGGGCTGCAGCACCCAGGAGGCACAGGGCGGGAGTGGTGAGGGAGGCAGCTCTCCCACCTCCAGGGATACAACCGTCATTCTGTGGGCCTGTTTCCCTTGTCACCAAAAACTAAGGCATCTAACCCTTTCCCTGGGCTTCCGGCTCCTCTCCTCACCTGTTTGTCAGCCCCTTCAATCCAGCTGCCGTGGGCTCTTCCTGATGTGCAGGCATTCCTAAAGTCTCAGTAAAAGCCACCACAATTATCTTCTGTTGCTCAGTCCTTCTGTTACTCTGGTCCTGGGTCACTTCGTTGAGCAGAAGAGGCATTTTTTTTTTTAATAAGGCAGACCACCTCATCTATGGGAACCACCCCAAGTACCAGGTGACTCAGCCTGACCATGGTGGCAATAAAGCAATGGCAGAGTTCTAGTCAAACTGCTGTGGGTCTCATGTTCCACGACCCTACTTCCACAGGGCAGGGCAATTCTGGGGTGACACCCTACCATAAATGGCCAGAAGGTGAGCATCAGTCCGCAGGTCTGCGGTGACCTGCCTGACATTCCCTGAAAGTCACACCCTCGCCTCTAGGACAAGACTGCAGCTCGGCCTCCCTGGCATTGTGCTGTCTTGGGCTTGCATATCTGGTCAGGGCAGACTGTGTGCACATTTTGTGACAGGACCAGTCCCACCGCACAGCTCCCAGTGCTGACAGCCCCCACAGTCACCTTTCTACTTTCTCACTAGTGGGGACCAGGTCACTGACAATCTCTTGACACTGCAAACAAGATTTGGTAACCATCCTGTGCTCACTACCCAGAAATGGAACAGCCGTTATTTGCAGGGTAACCAGGCACACAGTGTAGTCGGTGCTCTGCCTGGTAGGAGAGTGCCTGGAGCATGGGCCACACTGGGGGGCCTGACCATGCAATGTGGTGTAGGGGCTGAGTCATGCACCTGGGTCTCCTGAGGGGCCAGAGGCTGGGTCAGCCACATGGGGAGTCGTCATGCCACTGCAATAGACCCAATAGAAGCTCTGGACACAAAGGCTGGGGGAGCTCTCCTTCAGGCGGGCCAGGTTCCACAAGCATGGTCACTCGCCGACACTGGGAAAGCACACTATCCTGACTCCACAGGGAGGAGACAAAAGCAGCTCCTGCTTTCCTACTCTTTCTGGATTTTGCCTGGTGCACCTCTTCCTTTGGCTGAAATTAACTCATCACTGTCACCGTAAGCAAAAGGCAGGCCCTCGGAGCTCTGGCAGTACGTGTAGCGAATTACCAAGCTCCAGGGGGCTCTGGGAAACCCTGGAACTTGCATATGGTGTCGGAAACAGGGCCAGGCTTGGGGACTGGGCCTATACTCCCACTGGACTGATTCCCACAGTTTGACCCTCTCCCCGAGGGTAGCACCAGGCCACGCCCCACGGGGTCCTCACACTCCCTATCACCCAGGTTTGAGTCCACCGCCCACCAGAGCCAGAGCAGCTCACCAGTGTCTCCACACACAAGTGTCCATTGACAAGGGTGTGAGCAACCCCGAGAATGTGTGAAATAACATCTTACCAGGAGTATGAAACGACCCTTGGCATTTGTCTCTGTTCTCCTTGGACTAAGAATCTGAAATTAAAAGTGGGCCAGAGGTATCAGCTACCGTTACCCTTTCACTGACCTCTGATAACAAGTAGAAAAACTATATCTCGACACTGACCACATGCACCAATGAGTAATCGGCCATCACAAAGCACACTCCACTAACACTCAGGGCTGTGAGGGTACTACCAGGCCTTGTGGAGCCCAAGGCCATCTGTGCTAGAGGCGTTCCCGGTCTACTGGACAAAAGCCAGGTAGCTCCCTTCTGAGGCCTATCACAATGGGGATGGGGCCAGAGGATGTCCCTAGTGCTACCCCTTATCTGAGGAGTCAGGATGATTAGGTTCACCAGCCAAAGGGATAACCCTGTCCCTCATTCTGATACATAACCAGGCCGCTTCCCCTCTGTCTGTCACCCTTTCCACAGGCTGTATGAGTGGGATAGACGCCCCAACACCATCAAAAAGAAAGCAAGTCTATGACAGCATCAAGACCTCCCATCCCACTTCCCGTCTCACCACAGCACCAGCACCACAGGGTACCTTCCAGGGCTGCAACCAAGTATCCAACTAAGAGAGGAAGGATAGGCAGATCCCTGGCAGGTGTCTCCACATACGGAGGCAGGCAGCTGGGGCACAAACTGAAAGGAACTGGGCAGCTCCCTGATGTCACTTGATGGAGGTGAGAAATGGAGGGGGGGGGGGCCATCAGAGCCCCTTCCTACCTGCAGAAGCCCCACATCATGGGGCATTAGGTGAGACAGAGGGACTCAAGCAAACTCCCAGTCCCAGGCTCCAAGAGCTCCAGCCCCAAATTCACAGAAATACAGGGCCAGAAGCACCCAAGTCTGACAGGTTCCATCCAGAAATGGCCCGTTGACCACAAAGCCATTCGTTTAGGGCTACTTACAGCCCCAGCAGTATTGAACTTCTATCTGTGCCCACACACTGGGATCTCTTATCTTGTCACTGTGTGACATTTTGTTGCTTGGACTCATCTATAAGATGACACTGGCACTAAGTCATAGGTTTTGCTAACTTCATGTAGTAGAGAAACTATGAAGCAAAGAAAGCCAGGAGCATGACAAGACTAACAGCACAATGCCCTGCTCCTCCACCCCAGGAGAAATGCCCAGATCAGCGAGGGACTGAGGAGGAAGAAGTGAGCATGGCAGGACACACGGGGAAGTGAAGGGGGACAGAGCCTCGAGGTGAGGTGCATGGGGTGCTTACTGCCCAGGCCCACAAGGACCCGGGGGGCCGTTTCTGCTCATAGACCTTGAGCTGTGGGTGATTTGTGGGGGACACACTTGTCTAGGCCTCCAGCAGAAATGACAAGTTGAGCTGCCTGCCCACCCTCCCCATCCAAGCACCCTGGGCCCCCCTTTCCCTTGACACTCACTCTAAATTTAACCTTAACTCCTATGCCTAATGCTCAGGCGGGGGTCTGAGGGCCTCGGTGCAATTAGCCCATTACAGGCATTTAAACAGGGTGGGCACCAGGTCTGGACAACCCAGTCGCTAAGAGCAGTCATGGAGACTCCAGGTAGATTTGACAAGACTCAGTGTCAGTGATAACTTTATGAAGAAACATGATAGGACACAATCTCATTACTGATCCCACCTCCCCCCACTTTAGGACTCCATGGTGAAGCATGTACACCTGGGAAACAGGAACACCCGAGGAAAGAGAAGATAAGACACTGCAGAGGGGACAACCCAAGGTGGCACCTACAGTATGCAGCCCACATCGACACCTAGATGGAGACCCCCCCTGGTCCTGAAGGAGGCAGATGAAGGAGCTGCTGGGGGCTGGGCCAGGGTGGAGCCAGCTTCCTCTGCCAGGGGTCACTGCAGAGAAAGAGAGAAAGGGGAGGGGAGAAAAAAGGAGAAAGGAAGAAGGGAGGGAGAGGAAGAGGGAGGGAGGGAGTGCTGTCCTGGAACCCAGGCAGCCAACACTCCAGTCCTAACAACCAGACATCCCCCAAGGCTGAAGATTCACCACCCCTAGAATCATCACCTAAAATGCTACCCACCAAGAGCTGACTGACCAGCATTCCTGAAGCAAAATGACACCTCTCAGCACAGAGCAGAGAAGAATCAGGGCTCTGGCTCAGGATTAGAGGGAGTGCAAAGAACCCACAGCCTCAAGGTTAGGCAAAGCCTCGGACAGAGGGTTTGAGGAGGACATGCACAACAAGGACCTGATGGCCACCACCCACATGGGGTCCCTGTGTTCCTGGACCCCATGGCCAGCTCCTGCCTGCAGAATGCCAGGACTGGGGCCAGTACTTCAGTATTGAGGTGTAACCCCCACTTACAAAACATCACCTTCAACGTGGAAGCTGGGGAGTCTTATGAATTTTAGCCCCAAAAGGAGGCCGGGCCTGGCCTTAGGCCCTCTCCTAGTAGCTACTCCTGCACCTGCCCTGCAGGGCGGGGTGGGGGCCCACCTGAAGCAGCATGTTGAGGCCCAGGTTGCGGTGTCTCCGCTCAAGGTCCGACAAGGCCTGCAGCAGAGACCTGAACCTCTCCGCAGGGTCAGCATCCTCATCTTCAGGGGACCCCTCCTCCTTCTCTGCCTCCTGCAAGAAGCGCTCCTCCTCCTCTACAAAGAAGGTCCGCAGCTTCTTGTAGTCAGTCAGGGCCTTCTTCCTGCGATCCATCACGTGTCCCTGCAGAACAGGCAGCAGGGAAGGACACCTGTGTCCTCGAGCCACACCCAGGACCCCAGGCCCACACTGACCACCTAGAGTAGGTTTGCTGCAAAGGTCTCAGCTTCCTCCCAAAGCTCTCCAGCCCCTCAGTCATGCGGACCCCAGGCCGACCCCACTTACCTTCCACACAGCAGCGGCAGACTCGGCCTGGCCATGCAGGTCCCGTGCATCATTCAGATCTTTCCTCATGATCTCCACGGACCCCTTGTTCTCCTGGTGATAGACAGTGGTTACCAGGTGGGCAGCCACACCTGAAGGTCTGGGACATGCCCCCCCAATCCAGTCCAGGGAACACTGTACCCCACAGAGTCCACTAACAGTATGACTGTCCAGAAGGCCTCACCCAGAGGTCCTGGCCTGCCAGACTCATGTAAACAGGCTACAGGTACCAGAGAGGGTCTGAGTGACCTCACTAAGCTTGCTGCCAGAGAAAGCCTCATAGAAAAACTCTTGCTAAGAATTCAACCTTGTAACTGAACATGAGAGTTCCCTGTTGTCACTGGAGTTACCGTCACCAACACAGAAATGGAGGTTGGTATCTGCCAAAAGCACAGACACCTCAACTTTTCAGGAGGAACGGCACTAGCAGGGTCACTCTGGGAATCCCAGATAAACCGGCCCGTGGCCCCTTTGGGGTGAACACAGCCACAACCAAGGCCTGCCCAGCACTGGTTGTGCACTGACCAGGTAGGTGGGAGGATCCTCCACCGCACAGGAAGAGCCCATAGCAAAGAAGCGCCCAGCTCCAGTCTGGCTGGTTGTCTATTCTGTCATAAATAAAAACAAGGGCGAGTCCCCGGCTCTTCAGTTGGTGGTGGGTTTCCACCCAGGGTCAGATGCCACATACAGTGCAGGTACGGTACTGGAACTGAGTAGGTGGAGGGAACCCCAGAGGGCTAAGAAGAAATGAGAAAGTAAGAAGATAGAAAGGTTTAAGCACTGCACCCTGGACTACAGAGGAGCTAACAGCCTCATCTGCCAGACTCATGTAAACAGGCTACAGGTACCAGAGAGGGTCTGAGCGACCTCACTAAGCTTGCTGCCAGAGAAAGCCTCATAGAAAAAACTCTTGCTGGGGGCTTCGCCGGGGAGGGTGGAGGCTGCCGCAAGGTGACGTCATGCCCAGAGGAGGGGCAGTGAGGCGCCAGGGGACAAGGCATGGGGGCGGGGCCGGCAGCAGGACGCAGACCGCGTGTGGGAGAGGACAGCCCGCCCAAAGACGGAAAGCTGGGATGAGGGGAGGGCCACAGACGCCTTCCGGGGATGAGGGATTGGGGCACAGTCCGGGGCGGGAGGGGTATGGGAACCGGGTGTTGTCCGAAGGGTGAGGAAAGATATAGGGTGCTGTCTGGAAGAGGATGGGGAAGACAGGCAGCGGGATTTGGAGGCTCAGGGCACCGAAAAGGGACTGGGACTCGGGTCAGGAAGAGGAAGGCAGCGTACAGAAGCGCCGCCCGCGCACACCTTGCCACGCAGCGCCTTTCTCCAGCGGGGCTCCCACTCCGGCGGTTCGGGCCCCGCGGCCATGCGGCAGGCGGCACAC